CTCTACTATGGCCCGTATCAAATGCCATCGTACCTGGTTAAAGTGGTTGGACAATGATGCTAATTACGTAAGAATTTTCTCTTTTGACTTCAGCAAAGCTTTCGATAATGTTCCACATGACATCTTATGTGCGAAACTGAAACGCTTAGCTATGAATCCATATATTATCAACTGGACTATTAACTTTCTCACAAATAGGCAACAAAGAGTTTTAGTCGATGGCATCGTCACAAACTACCTGGACATTAATCGTGGCGTTCCGCAGGGAACAGTTTTAGGGCCAATTCTCTTTTCGATTATGGTAAATCATATCAATCCGATTGACCATCAAAATGAATTAATTAATTTTGCGGATGACATGACGTTAGGAGTTCCTGGAACGAATGAAGTCGATACATCTAGAATTGAAGTGGACAATATAATCGAGTGGTCTCAAAGAAATCGAATGCCACTAAACATGGACAAAACATGGGAAATGGTTATGCGTGGCAACGTTCATGGGTCTATACCAAATCCAATACCAATGATCGAAAGGAAGACCTGGCTGAAAATTCTAGGTACAATATTGCAAGAAAATCCAAGCAACTGGGACATGCACTTTGACCAGATGATTAATAAGGCAAACATTAGAATGCAGATTATGCGAATATGTAAATACTACGGAATGACAGTAGAACAATTAGATTTGTTATTCAATAGTTTAATTATGTCTGTACTGACATACGGAATAGAATTATGGTGATGTGCTTATTATGACAAATATTTGAAACAAATCGATAAATTTGTAAGTAGAGCACGAAAATGTGGTTATACTTCAAAAGGTTACTCGATGAAAGAAATAATATGTTCCAGAGACAAGAAGTTATGGGATAAAGTGACATCAAATGTGAATAATCCATTGCATGAGTTATTACCAAACAACCTAGCTTGACCCCTTAGGCCTCGAGGACATGTTTATGAATTACCACGAATAAGGACAGAACGCTTTAAGAATTCCTATATAAATCCATGTTTATTCAAGTTTATATGATTCCATATTGTACATATTTTACCTTTTTCAGAGTTTTAACTATTTGATATTCATATAAACTGGTATATTATAACTATAATTATTCGCAAACTATATAATTGTAGAATGCAGTATTTTCATGTAAACTCGTACGGGTGTTCTGAGGTTTTCTTAATAATGACTATTATTATTATTATTATTATTATTAAAAAAATAAAAAAAGAACAAAAAAAAACAAACAAAAAACAAAACGTTCAATCACGACAATTACATTAGTAGAAATTTCTGGGGTTACGTTAAGAACGTTCTGAATAAGAATACTTGCCTACTTCCATGCTTTACAATGTCAGAATGCCTAAACTATTTCAAGAAAACTCTATGTTCAATTAACCCAAACAAACTGTTTTGTATTCCAAGCTGGATTCCGAAGTTATCCGATCCTATCGTAAACTTTGACCTTCAACCCCCAACATATCGCCAAGTTACAAACATTATTCGCAGAATGAAAGCTTCTGGATCGCCTTGTCCTCTAGATCAACTTTCAATCATTTGCTTCAAACGTTGTCCATTCTTGCGCACTTATCTAACCGAAGTGATTCGTAGCGTCTGGTCTTCGAAATCTGTACCCGCTGAATGGAAAAAAGCGTGTTCTATTCTTATCCACAAAAAAGGCAATACAAGTGACCCCTCCAATTTCCGCCCAATTACTCCAGAAACTATACAACTAAAAGTGTTTACCTCTTGTCTCCGCAATGCTATGTTCTCGTTCCTAACTGCTAATAACTTTATTGAACATCAGATTCAAAAAGGTTTCACTCCCAATCTGTCTGGCACTCTGGAACACACTGCTCAAATGACAAATATTATCAACCAAGCGAGAATAAAGCAGCGCTCTGTTCTCATCATCCTTCTCGATCTCAAGAATGCTTTTGGTGAAGTGCATCATAATCTAATTCAATCTGTCCTCGACTATCATCACATTCCCAAAGACGTTAGTGAAATAATAAAGAGCTTGTATACGGACTTCAATACTGCATTTATAACATCAGAATTCTCCACCCCATTTATAACTGTCGGTCGTGGAGTCCTTCAAGGAGACTGTCTTAGTCCTCTGATTTTTAATATGTGCATCAATACCTTTATTCAACATATAAAAACTGACAAATACCGGCAATTTGGTTTCATTACAAATCTTTTAAACCCAGTCCATTGGTTCCAGTTCGCTGATGATGCTGCGGTAATAAGCGGTCAAGATTCAGAAAATCAACATCTTTTAAATCGATTCTCGATCTGGTGCCAGTGGTCTAACATGATTGTCAGGGTTGATAAGTGTTCAACATTTGAGATCAGGAAAAGTCTCACAAAATCTATCCAATATTTACCTAAACTTCTGATTAACAATGAATTGATACCTGCCACTAAAATTGGAGAGTCGTTTCGATACTTGGGGAAATATTTTGACTTCAGTATGTCCGAAAAAGAACACAAACAAGAGCTAATCACTCTCATGGACGACATTATGTCTGAAATTGATCTCAAACCTTTGCACCCAAAAATAAACTTTTGCTTTATAGTCGTTACCTCCTATCCAAACTTTCCTGGCATTTCACTGTAACCACCTTATCAAAAACCTTGGTCTCTGAAAATATGGATTCTGTGGTGAACAAGTACGTACGTAAATGGCTTGAAATACCTATATCAGGAACTCTATCTAACGTCTACCTTACCAGTAACAAGTTTGGTCTAAATATCTACCCGCCGTCAATTAAGTTTGTTCAGTGCCAAACAGTTGCTCGTAACGCCTTAAAGACCTCTCAGTAACATTCAGTACGACGTCTACACCTCGACAAAGGAAGTCCTTAAAACTTTTACCTCCGGACAAGAAGACAAACTGCAGAATCATCTGATTTTGCAAGGCTCCTTCTTCTCAAATGTCATTAAGTTTTCACTATCGAAATTAAACGGTATATGGTCTAAATCCCAATTAAACCTCCCAAAGAACATCTATAACTTCACCATTCGTTACATTAATAACTCACTTCCAACTCGTAAAAACCTTACTAAATGGGGAATATTGTCCAACTCTGATTGCTCCTTCTGCTTAAACCCTGAAACCCTTTTACACGTAGTTGCTGGATGTCAAACGTACCTCCCACGATTTACATGGAGACATGATTCTGTTCTGAACTTCATAGCGCAAACGCTACAACCTGTAAACAACTCCAATCTTTTCGTCGATCTTCCTGGTTATAAAAGCCCATCAATTGTAACTGGTGACACATTCCGCCCAGACCTACTTCTATCTATCAACTCGGATTGTCTCTATATCCTTGAACTTTCTGTTGGCTATGAGTCTAATCTACAAACAAATGTTGATCGGAAAAGAAGAAGATACGAAGATCTCATTACACAGCAAAAGAAACAATTTAAGTCCGTAAAATTTGTCAATTAGTTCTTTAGGCGTTTTCTCAAAAGAATGTCATTCCTTTTTAGATATGTTAACTGATCTAGGTCTTGATAAAAGACACCAATATTTCGCTATCAGAAAAATTATGCCTATACGATTAGGACAACATATTATATATTTTGTTGCAGAGATAAGGACTGGTTAAATCCGGAATTACTGAACATTTAAGGATACTCATTATTAATATATAAATATTAAGTAGGTTCAAGTAGTCAATTATAAATTACATAAATTATTGAGATTTATAATTGTATATATACGTATACTGTATAATTTCAATAAAGTTTCCATTATTATTATTATTATTATTATTATCATTATTATTATTATTATTATTATTATTATTATTATTATTATTATTATTATTATTATTATTTCGTTCTGTGAGAAAGATTTCGTTACACTCGGTCGACATTCATGACGATGTAAACAGCGAGTTAATTACGCAGAACAAGATCACTCTGCCGAAAATACGGCAAGGCAAACGCCCGTCATGAATTCTCCTCATGTCGTCGTGTCAAGTCGAACCGTAATCAAGTGTTGCTGTGGTAAAGTATGTAAAGGAGCGCGAGGATTAAATTAAAGATGCATCAACGCAGTTGTAGAGTTATTCAAGGTCTAGACAGTGAATTCCGTACAGACCTAGAGGAACAAAACAATTCTGACACGGAAAATATTCCTGAAATGGACCAATCGACAATCAACGAAACTCCTACGGTTGAAATGGAAGATATTGCGAATTTAAGAAAAGGTATTAAACTCCCTAAAAGCAATTCCGAATGGTCAACGGCCAACGAACATTTGAAATTCGCTCTTCAGTCCAATGATCCAATCACATCACAAGATTTAAATTCCAACAGAAAACTATTAAATAATAACATATACGATTACTTCGCCCAAAACTTTGGTTATAGCGAATCAGTGCCTGACAATTCGCTACTAAATAAATATAAGGACTATGAAATCAAGGATTTGAAAAAAGCTCTGAAAACCCTTAAATCAACGAATGGTGAACTAGACGAAATTAAATACGTGTCGCATGTATTGCGTGATAAGCTTCGCTCAAACAATAACGAGTCATGTCTAGACAGCAGCCAGTCACTTAGCCATGACAAATATATCGGGAAAAATTTCTGGGGTTATATCAAGAATATTCTAAGGAAGAAAGACACTGTATTACCATCTTTCAATATGACGCAATGCCTTTCCAATTTCACTAAGATCCTTGCTGCAATTCATCCAAACAAATTGTTCAATATTCCTAGCTGGATTCCTGCGTTGTCTGACCCTGAAATTCAATTTGATCTTTACCCCCCATTGTATCAAGAAGTCACGAATATAATACGCAGAACGAAGGCATCTGGCTCTCCATGTCCCCTTGATCAGCTATCTATTATATGTTTTAAACGCTGTCCTTTCCTAAGAACATATTTAACTGACCTCATTCGTGCTGTGTGTCTATCTGGAATCATCCCTTCAGAACGGAAGAAAGCTTGCACAATACTAATCCATAAAAAAGGCGATACTAATACCCCGTCCAATTTCCGACCCATCACACTGGAGACCATACCATTAAAAGTATTCACTTCCTGCCTACGTAACGCTATGTATTCATTCCTACCGTTAATAACTTTATAGAACATAATATTCAAAAACGATTCTCACCTAACATGTCTGGCACCTTAGAACATACTGCACAAATGGCCAATATAATCAATAAAGCCCGAATCAAACAACGCTCACTAGTCATCACCCTACTTGACCTCAAGAATGCTTTTGGTGAAGTTCATCATAATCTGATCACATCCGTAGTTGATTACCACCATATGCCTGGACATGTTAAAGTGATAATTAAAAGCCTATATACAGATTTTAAAACTTCAATAATTACATCTGAATTCCGTACCCCCTTCATACCAGTTCGCCGTGGAGTATTGCAAGGTGGTTGCCTGAGTCCTCTTCTCTTCAACATGTGTTTCAACACCTTTATACAACACATAAAAACAGATAAATATCGTCAATTTGGTTTCTCCTTACAGTTTCTAAATACCATCCACTGGTTTCAGTTTGCTGATGATGCCGCCGACATAAGTAGTCAAGAATCCGAAAATCAACATCTTCTAAACCGGTTCTCCATTTGGTGCCAATGGTCCAACATGATTATTCGGGTTGATAAATGTAGTACCTTTGGCATCAAAAAAGCTCTAACAAAATCAATCCAATACCTGCCTAAACTACTTATTAACAAGCAACTAATTTCAAAGATCAATATCGGTGAGGCTTTTCAATACTTAGGAAGATACTCTAGTTTTAATATGTCAGACGAACACCACAAGTCTGAACTACTCTCACTCGTTGAAGATCTAATGGCAGATATTGATTCCAAACCATTACATCCAAAAAATAAAATCCTCCTCTACAGTCGATATCTTCTGTCAAAATTATAGTGGCATTTTACAGTTTCTAGCGTATCGAAAACGTGGGTCACCGAAAACATTGATTCCAAAGTCGACAGTTATATCCATAAATGGCTTGATATACCTATATCTAGAACGCTAAGCATTGTTTTCCTAACCCGCAACAAGTTTGGCCTCAGTATTTGTCCCCCATCTGTCAAATTTATTCAATGTCAAACTGTTCTCCGTAAAGCCCTAAAAACATCCCCAAACGAAGCAATTAACGATCTTTGGAAAGCAACTAGTAACAGCAAAAATATTCAGTATGACGTTTATAACTCCACTAAGCAAGTTCTTAAGGACTTTCGCTCTGGACAAGAGGATAAACTTCATACTCAATTAATCTGTCAAGGCTTTTTCTTCACTAATATAACAAAGTTCTCACTGTCCCAACTCACTAAATTTGGTCTGCGTGCCAATCGAACCTTCCGAAAAATATATTCAACTTTACAGTTCGATATATCAATAACTCCCTTCCAACGCGCCAAAACCTTGCAAGATGGGGTTTATTACCGACTTCAGACTGTTCGCGATGTCTAGCTCCTGAAACACTTCTGCACGTAGTAGCTGGTTGCCAATCGTATCTAGAACGATTCACGTGGAGACATGACTCCGTTCTAAACTTTCTCGCAACAAGCCTGCATGTAGTACTCTGCGATTCATGTAGCCAATTGTAAATTACCTAAGTCAGTAGTGAGATTTACAATTGTATATATACGTTAAAATTCAATAAAGTTTTCATTATTATTATTATTATTATTATTATTATCATTATCATTATCATTATTATCATTATCATTATCATTATCATTATCATTATCATTATCATTATCATTATCATTATCATTATCATTATCATTATCATTATCATTATCATTATCATTATCATTATCATTATCATTATCATTATCATTATCATTATCATTATCATTATTATTATTATTATTATTATTATTATTATTATTATTATTATTATTATTATTATTATTATTATTATTATTATTATTATTATTATTATTATTATTATTATTATTATATAAATATATAGTATCAATTCAAGTAGACATTGATAAACTACCTGTAAAGCGAGGTTTATCATTGTAGTTGTACGGTATATATCCTAATAATCAATAAATAAAGTTTCCATTATTATTATTATTATTATATATTATGCCTAATAAATTATTATTATTACTATAATACTTAAACAAAGAAATTTAAAAAAAAAAATTATTATTATTATTATTATTATTATCATTATTATTATCATTATTATTATCATTATTATTATCATTATTATTATTAAACCCTTTTACACGTAGTTGCTGGATGTCAAACGTACCTCCCACGATTTACATGGAGACATGATTCTGTTCTGAACTTCATAGCACAAACGCTACAACCTGTAAACAACTCCAATCTGTTCGTCGATCTTCCTGGTTATAAAAGCCCATCAATTGTAACTGGTGACACATTCCGCCCAGACCTACTTCTATTTATCAACTCGGATTGTCTCTATATCCTTGAACTTTCTGTTGGCTATGAGTCTAATCTACAAACAAATGTTGATCGGAAAAGAAGAAGATACGAAGATCTCATTACACAGCAAAAGAAACAATTTAAGTCCGTAAAATTTGTAAATTTGTCCATTAGTTCTTTAGGTGTTTTCTCAAAAGAATGTCATTCCTTTTTAGATATGTTAACTGATCTAGGTCTTGATAAAAGACACCAATATTTCGCTATCAGGAAAATTATGTCTATCGCGATTAGGACAACATATTATATATTTTGTTGCAGAGATAAGGACTGGTTAAATCCGGAATTACTGAACATTTAAGGATACTCATTATTAATATTATATAAATATTAAGTAGGTTCAAGTAGTCAATTATAAATTACCTAAATTAGTGAGATTTATAATTGTATATATACGTATATAATTTCAATAAAGTTTCCATTATTATTATTATTATTATTATTATTAATATTATAATTATTATTTGTCATCTGCTAATAATAAACAAGTAATCATGCGATGTTGCTCGTACAATTAGTGATTAATAGTACTCGTGATGTTTGGAAATTTGCCAAATTAGACTCGTCCCGGCGGCTCGTCCAATTTTTGGCAAAATTTCCAAACATCACTCGTACAATTAATCCCTAATTGTACTCGCCATCCCATGATTGCCTATAGAAATAAATAAATAAATTACATAAATAGATAGATAGATAGATAGATAGATAGATAGATAGATAGATAGATAGATAGATAGATAGATAGATAGATGGATATTAGATAGATAGATAGATATAGATAGATATAGATAGATAGATAAATAGATAGATAGATAGATAGATAGATAGATAGATAGATAGATAGATAGATAGATAAACAAAGTTAGCTCTCTTTTCGGCGCAAATCATCATATCGCTGCTATAATGGGCATGTATAAAAATTGAAATGTTTGTTATTTTCACACTTACTTTAGACCGACGACTTTCAGCTTTGATTCTGTTCATCATTTCGCCGGTATCACCCACTGCCAGACCCACAAATACGTTCATAACGACAATACTCATAACGAGAAAGAACAGCACGAGGAAAACACATTGGATAATATAAACTGATGATTTATTGTCAAGGAAAACGTCACGATAGTCGATTTCTCCGCCCATCATGATCAAGGTGGTGAGAGCAGACCACGGTATTGTGCTGAATGCATAATCTTTGCTCCTCAACAACAGGAACGTCATCGCGAAGGCGACCACAAAAAGTACTACAACAGGTAGGGTCTAATGAAAGACCAAAATAGTTAAATAAAACATTCAAGCATGGCCTTTGTCACAGAGCTTAAGATTTTGTACTGTAAACGCGCGATGTTTTGGCAAATCTAATTCGTATTTCCGGTCAAAAAATACCCGCTGACTTCACTAATATCGCAACAAATTGAAACACCCAAATAGAAGATGAAAAACTGAGCCTACAAGCTTGAAAATAACACTGTAAATAGTGTTTTTGATTGTGAATCGAACAAGACTACAACAAAAAAGATAAGTCCGAAGGGGCGGAATTTGTGTTCGGCGAAAGTATGGCTTTAGTGATACATTGTTTACACTTTTCGAACAAATATGTAATTTGTTCAAATATGATTTTTCCTGACCCTTCAAATGTCATAAATCGCTATAATGTTTGTCATGGTGGTATTTTCATCTACACAGCCAGAAACGCGCAAGTTGCGGCAGGTCTGCTGATCATCAAGCCGATATCAGATGCGTTCGCATCGCATGCTCCAGCTTGATAATATCAAGTCTGCATGTTGCAAGTTGTCAACAGACTTGCTGCAAGTTGTCGTCCACAGACTTGCTGCAAGTTGTCAACTGCAGGCTTGATGCAAGTTGTGAACTGCAGACTTGATGCAAGTTGTGAACTGCAGACTTGATGCAAGTTGTTTAACTGCAGACTTGATGCAAGTTGTCATCCACAGACTTGATGCAAGTTATCAAAAGGCTGAGTGAGGAAAACGCCTTGTGAGGCTTCGTGTATGCACCAATTTGAACAAAAAACGGCCAAACAGGTTGCCATATTTCGGTTGTAGTGTTTCGTAAAATAACAACACTTTTATATAACCAACTTGCGTGATAATTTTTGAGCAAAACAGCAGAAAAAATACGACAAAGAAAGGTTCTTATCGTAAACAATTCTCAAAATTAAAGGTCTTTAAGTGCTATCGATATATGATATTCGCTTCCTTGTGAACGTGTTTGATTTTTTCGCACTTCGCAGTTGTTTACTTGTACGTTGAAATTTTGTTTGACACTTTGACTCAAAAAGTAAAAGACAAAAACGACTGAACATGATTACGTGATTGATATGTTTGTAATATTTCGTCCACTTGCAACGAGGAATGATGACGTGTGGATACGCCTTTATCCAATCAGATTAAAGAAATATAGCGATAGCACATGTCAGCAAGTTGTTCCTAAATTTTCATTTTTTGGAAAATTTTTAATTATTTCATTTGCGACTTGCGAGAATTTTCCTACAGCTGTCCATTTCAACTCATCTAATTTTATTCATCAAAAATAGCTTTATTGAAGGCTAAATATGGCAAAATAATCCTTTTGATTTAAAATACAAACATCTCCATTGTTAAATATTCATGTATAGGGCGATAAAATAATTGAGGAAACTGCTTTCACGGCCGAATTAGCCAAACAATAAACAAAGTCTGTAAGCTGTGAACAAGTCAAATGACTTTGTTATCAACTTGCAGCCAGTCAGCAAATGTCAAGTTGCAACAAGCCTGATCGATTTTAACAGACTTGCTGCAAGTTGTTTTATCAGACTTGTCAAGACTAACTTGCAGACTAACACAAACTTCCCGCATATTGTTTGAACAACTTTCAGCAAGCCTGCATGCGGATAACAACTTGCAGCAACATTGATGCGTTCATCACTCATCAGACTTGATGCAAGTTGTTCCATCAGACTTGTCAAAAGTTGGTATCAACAGACTTGATGCAAGTTGATGAAACAACTTGCATCAAGTCTGCAAATGACAACTTGCAGCAAGCCTAATGTTCTCAACTTGCATCAGCATTGATGCGTTCATCAGACTTGCTGCAAGTTGTTCTATCAGGCTTGCTGCAAGTTGATATTTGCAGACTTGATGGAACTTGTTTCATCAACTTAAATCAAGTCTGCAAAAGTCAACTTGTAGCAAGCCTGATTTCAACAGGCTTTCTGCAAGTTGATGACGTCAACAAGCCTGCTGCAACTTGTTGACAACTTGCAGCAGGCCGGTAAAATCCGCAACTTGCAGCAAGTCTGTGTCGTTTCTGGCTGTGTACATAGCATTTACTGAACCGAAGATATGAATTAATATGCAAAATAGTATTCCACTATCGACCAACTTTTCACAGGGCCTGTCGCTCAGGAGTTAATACACTAGTCAATTGAAACCCGGCCCCTCGACCCCCGGGATAGGACGGGGAAATTAACATTTTGACAATGTTAAATTTTGGTAATTTCCCCGCTACCGGGGGAATATTGACTGTTAAAGTTACCGCCCTTATGGCCCTGGCACTTTGCAAATATTCACGACTTGGGAAATTGGGAAATCGTTGAAGTATAAAATGTTCACAACATGTGAAGGCAATTGTTGATCTTAAACTTTGATCCGCACCAAAATTAAGATGCTGAATAACCTATACGTTTCGAGTATCTTCCAGTCATCATCAGGAATATATAAAAAGTGAAAATATATTCCTTTTTTTAAGAAAAACTATGAGGAAACAATTCTCTGATTTCGACGATTTCGCCATGTTGCCACAAGGATAAACTCGTTCCAGCCCACTTTCATATCACCCGCGCGTTAAAGTCCCGGCTAATAAATTGACTTGTTATTTACCCTGTACCCCGGGAAAAATGGTGCATTAAGACAGCGTTAATCCACGGCCATTAATCGCCCGTTAATTCCCTGCCCTGTCCCGGGGGTCGAGGAGCCCGGGTTTCAATTGACTAGTGCATAAGTTCAGCAAATTTTTGCAAAACAATCTGAATAACTTTCAATTAAATTAATGACGTCGACATTTAAAGAAAATGTTGAAATAATATATGTCCATTTCATTCCATTTTGTATACATCTTATCTATCTTAAATATCCCGTCAAGATTTACCTTCAATAGTGAGAAGAATACATTCTGGGTCAAAATGACGTAAATACCAAACTTTGGCAGCCGTCTCAAAAACCATATAAAATTGATCCAAGCAATGAAGATGGCAATTGCTCCAGCCTCGATTTGAGATTTGCTTTTGGTATCGTTTACCGGTAAAAGAAACACAAATGTGCAGATATACAAAGTCCATTCCAGTACGTTATTGAGGAAATCTTCAGTTAGATATTTCCCTAAGCTGTAAAAGATCTAAATAGAACGTAATTATAAATAATTTATTGAGGGAAAAATTGCGATGTTTTAGTAGTTTTAGGAGCATACTAGGTATACTGTAGCAACTCATCTGTCAAAACGGAAGCTATTTTCAACATACGTATTTTTACTTTCGGACAGTGGGCACACGTTGTTTGTCGTACTTATAGTCAGAAGACTTATTAATTCTCATTTATCTACTTCTCAATTATCACGTAACATTATCTATACAAATAAAGAAATGCTATTGGCTCGTATAAGTCACGTGCTGGATTGTCATTTGCTACACAAAATCGAACAAAAAGACCATGACTGACTACCCTGGTTGCCAGAGGTTCTGTATCTTTCGCCTTATTCCCGCTCGTATTGATTTTACGCGAGGCGAAGAGAACCTCTGGTGGCACGCGATACAAATCTCTCTTCCTTTGGTACAAAATTTGTACCAAGCACATGATTGGTTAGTTATAATTAGCAGTCACATGAAGTGATGTGATTGGCTAGACAAAAAAACCTGTTTATAAATCTCAGAGAACATGATGTAAACAAAATACAGAAATAATACGAACGTATTAAAATGCTTTACTTGGTGTAGGTGTGTATTTGAGATTAACTTATACTTTGTTCCGCTATAAAAAGATTTTCTGCGCTGGAGAAGAGCTGCCATCGCGGATTACTTGAGTTGACGGCATGACGCATGTTCACTCAGTTACAGTAGTAATATTTGTAAAATATAAAGTGTTGGTCACTTGCTTTATATCGTTCAAAGTTTTAAATTTTGGTAATTCTTTGACTTTAATAGTTATTAATATGATTTATTTTGCCAATATTTTCCCGTTTTCTGTTAAGGAAACGTAGCTATATATATATATATATATATATATATATATATATATATATATATATATATATATATATATATATATATATATATATATATATATATATATATATATATATATATATATATATATATATATATATTTATATTCTTTCATTTTTGACTGTATACGTTCGCTAGTACAAACGGCATTCCACAAATTTAACAATCAGGAAGGTTGCTTTTTGCTTTTGTGAGTATAATCTACATAATCTATACGAATAATCTGCATGTTTGGGCTGTTTATTTTTAATATCAATCAAGGTCGGAAGAGAGCTATTTTGGTAGCATAACAAACCCGGAAGTTTAAAAACGTCACAAAATATAAAACCAGTTTTGCAAGTTCTCAAACGGAAACTTCAGCATGGAAGAGAGATTTGTATCGCGTGCCACCACTTTGCCTCGCGTAAAATCAATACGAGCGGGAATAAGGCGAAAGATACAGAACCTCTGGCAACAGGGTAATGACTGACAAATTGCTTAATATATTTACTGTACTGCTCAAAACATCATCACTCAAAGTTTTTAAATTAAATACAAATTTAGCAAAACAACATTAATTAAAGATTGCTGTCACAAGGATTGTTGTCGAAAGTCATTGGTTCAGAGCGTCTATGGTGATTGGACAGTATGCATTTGAACGTTGCCTATGTCGCACGAAGTAAAGAAACCTGCTGGAAATCGTTGTTGCGAGACTCACCGAATTACGTGATATTTTTTAGTAATCGTTGCATATTTATCGAGGGTTGCTATCATCAGCTTTAACCAGGTCTTCTTCAATATTTTCATTCGCCCAGTGAGGCAAAAATGTTCGCAATTTTTGTTTAATTAAAAAAACGAAAACCAATTTTGTGTGACATAATTCCGTGCGCCTGTCCTCTGATCATGCCTCTCTACCATTGAAGTCGTTTAATGTTATTAAATAAAACTTTATAAAAGCAAAAGGAAAATAAAAGCTTTCGCAGCCAAGACCTATATATAGGCTCTTTACTCGCCCGGCTTTGGCAGATTTGGTCAATTAATATTTTGGTCAGGCATTTACTAAATAGAAAATTAGCACTTAAATAGAAAAATAGCAAAATTAGCCCAAAATAGACCAAACCTGCCAAAAGCCAGCCCAATAATGGTCCAGGGTGTAGGTTTTGCATGTAAGCTTCTTTAATCCACGAGCCAACGTCGCGGAGCGAAGTTCCGGGCGTAAGCCCAGGACGACGTTACTAATTCCGCCCGGCTATTTACAACCGAGGAAAGGAAAGCATTAGCGAAGTCTAAATTTCGTCAATAATCGCAGCATGGATAACTGAGCGTGGGTTGTCATCTCACCGATCTCAACATATGGCTGTTTTACTAGAGTGAAGCAGGCAACAATATAAAAAAATACATGTAAGAAACCCTAGAAAATTGTTTCACATAACAAATTTTAAAACTTATTTCATTTTTTAAACGTAAACGTTTATAAGAATTGATTTACTATGAGAAATCCTGAAGTATATGGCAAGTTTGTTTCAATTGTTTGTTTGTTTGTGGTATAAATAAAGATTTTGTTCATGTTGTTCAAGTCTTTCCTATATGCATTGCATACGAAAGTTTCTTAGTTAAGTTAACTTTTGTAGAAGTTCATGCATGATACAATACAGTACAATAGTTTTATTTCAACACGATTTGTCTAATCGCAGCACAAGTGCTGTACGTGGTCGTGCAACTATCATTACAATACATGTTGCAATACAGTTTATGAATTTCCTAAATTATTATAATTCTAATAAACATTAAGTTTACATCATATGATAGATTCCTGTTTCAGAAAAACTGTCACTGGGTGCCCAATTATTTAGCTACGTTCCTCAAATTTGTTGGTATACATGCATTGATAACTAACTGTAGAAGCTACTGATTTAACCAAAATTCACCACTTTTTAATCTGTAGTCGCAATGAGACATCTTTGAAAAATAGCACCTCTTGCGCCACGAGATCTAACGACAGACCGTTTAACTCAGGAGCTCCCAAAATATTATAATTCTCATCTCAAATGTCCAAAGAAGAAAAGTGTGTTCGCATATTTTGACACCTATTGTATTCGCTTTGATATAAAGCAGACAACTTGACTTATCTTGCGCGGGTATAAGCGGTTGAAGAGATGCCTCTAAATTGAAAAATAATGCACTAAATCGAAAACGCGAACATACTTTTATTCTTTTATTATTGATTAACATTGTGGTCAAGTTTGGGACAAATCGGATAAAACGCTCTGCCGTTTATACAGTTAGCTTTTGTCGAGGAGATTGGGTAATTTTGCTTTGTCTGCAAACGGCCATATAAGATTTGGCGAGGTTTCCACTTTTTCTGTCATTTTCTCCGCCCCCAATGTTAATAAGGCGGTGGTTAACCCAAACTTTAAGCTGTTCATTCAGATAGCCATAACAAATTAGATTTTACTCAAAACCATGACAACCTATATATCATATGAAAGCTAATGAAACATAGATTCTGAAAATATAATTTATATTATCAATAATTACATTGTAACCCGACACTAGCTACCACATGCTGTGAGTTCCCCATCTTCCTTTGAGAAAAGATTTAAGACTGCGTATTGCATTAAATTGCTTATTTTTTGTGCCAAATGAAAGATTACAAGTGGTTTTCTTGGATAAGCATAGAACGTTTTTTATATAATAAAGGGAATGGACACAGTGGTTAGTCAAAGATCGTGAACAAGAAAGGACGTTTTGATTCATAACTTCCCTAAAATTAGACATTTCAAAAATCTCTATGCTTATCCAAGAAAGCTCTCTTAGAGCAACAATTCCTGAAAATTTCATAACAATCGAGGAAATACTAGTCGAGTTATCTTTTCTCAACTGCGAAAAACAGGTATTTGGAGAAAATCAGCTTTAAAAGTTGCCATGTCTTAAAAAGTGCAATAGTAAATATTTGGACTGTGCAAGTCATTATTTCATGCATTAAATGAAACAGGGGGTTGTTTAATTAAAACCTTGCTGCTTCAAAACAGACTCCCTCAGCTTCATCAATAGCCTCTTCCCTTTGTATCGGCAGGAAGACGTGTCATTTGCGACGTTTCTTTTGCTTCTGGTTGGCATGAAAATCAGATTTTCTTAACCTCTTCTTGTCACGTACAAAGGAATTATGCCTTGTATGGTGACCAGCAGGTATGGAAAGTCCATCCATAATCCTTTCTCTGCTTGCAGCACCACTAATGAAATAACAAAAAGCTGAAGCAACAGTATCGTGAACAGTGTGTGATGTTTATGCTTTGGACATCAAGCCGATACGGGTTGATACCAGGGGTTCAGGCATTCATTTGGGTTTTGAAGTTGTGCCATGTACCCATCTCTCATACAACTTTGTATCACTCACTCAGTTATACAAAAGCTGGCTTCAGCTCTTCTTGTTTACCTAAAAGTTCAAGGCAAAATCTTATTAGTTAAGGTGTAGTTTCGACATAGCAGCCCAAAGCATATATCAAAGGTGCACATAATTTATATAATAAATAAACAAAGCAAAATTGGCTGATAAAATGTACAGTATGTAAGAATTTCATTTTATCACTTATACAATGCCAAGATAACAAACAAATATCATATTTGGGTGACAGGGCAAACTGGCAAAGCCAATTTAAAAACAAATCATCACTAAATACCTTCATCGCAAACATGAATTTCAGAGAACACAGAGGCTGAATGTTTTACATTTATCAGCCTATATCCATCTTCATCATTGTCAAGCAGACCTGGAAAGCCATCAGCCAACTCTGTAGCTCTAGCATCGTTTTGTAATTTCATCGTCTTCCTCAAAGAGCTATTCACATTTATACACACGTAGGTTCATCATCACGATGATTCAGCCGTCTCCTCGATGCTTTGCTCTCCTTTTTCGCTTTATTTTTGCCCTTTGTATCCCAGACAATCCTTTCCTAGTCATCTTTATATAGTGTTTTTTCCTTTCTACCCAACCATCTTCAACTAAAATATGGCTTTTTCCTCAACACAAGCACAGAATACTACACAAATTTTCCAATTTTGTCACGCACAAAACTTTAAATCAAACCTTTTTGTCAGCGGTTCGATGCTTTGTGACGGTCAGACTTTATGTTAGCTTCCTATATGATGGCTCCAGGGAAACTGGGCTCAGTTTTGACGAAGAAAACAAGGTAACAACAAAAAATGCTACCTCATGTTTCCATAGCAACCAGATAATTTTAAATGGCGAGTCTTTTAAAAGCCAGATTAAACACGGAAAAATTCAAATGAAAGCAAACAACATGTGGCTATGCTAAATCTAATGTTTCATGAAGTACCTTTTTCTCTTAAAAATTTTTTTTTCTTATTAATCCACTTGTGGCCGAACCACAAAGTGTGAACTTTGCTGGCGTCAAATATCAAGGTGTGAAATTCACTGAAGTATAAGTTATTGGTCGGAGGCATATATCATTGCGACAAGATTAGAAAGCTTATAATATAGTATTTACAGAGTCTCTCGAAGTTCAAGCTTGCGCGATGCTGACGTCGGTGACGTTTCTCTGCGTTTGCGTTTTGGCTTAGACGTTTCCTTACTAATTGTATTTAACCGCAAGAGGTCAGACTGACAATTTGAGTCAATCATAATTACAAGTTTCGCGCGAAGCTATTCAGTGGTCATAGCATTTTCTCCTATATCTCGGTCGCTTTTTAACATTTTCTTTAAGAAGTTGCTAGAATTGAGAGATATATCATCATATATTGTAACCTTAAAGTTAGTAATTGTGTCCAAAAAGGGATGTCATCAATGATGTATAATTATGAATATTCCTGACAACAGTTCGGAAGCTTGTTCCACAAAACTGATCCTCTGTACACAATGAACTTTATCATTATTTCTGTCACGCATAATGGTAAACTTAACCTGTTCTGACCTATAAGGTTATACGCTTTTATGATACGTTTGGTGAATAAGCTTGAAATTCTCTGTGGCACACTGCCAGTGTAACATTTATGAGATAGGCCAACCAGCCTATGTTTATAGTGCAATCCTCGGGACTTCCATCCTGCTTTGAGTAAAGTGTCACCAGCTTCAGTAGTTCAATGAAGTCTGTATATAATTTTGGAAGCCCGGGCATGCATTTTCTCAATTCTGTCAAATAAAGTCACATTGCAACTAATTCCCCATATCAGGATTCCATAGGTAATAGAAGGGAGAATTACTTTATTATAGAAATCTTGCAACGTTGGCTTCGGTAGGAATTGCATAGATTTTAGCAGATTCAATTTCTTTGCAAAGCTCACCAAAATGTCATTGACATGTTCGGAGAATTTAAGATCACTGTCTATGGTTAATCCTAGACACCTTGTTTTGTAGACTTTTTTTGCTGATATGTTACATAACTTTATTTCTTGAAGGGGGCCTACAAATCTTTTTTACTTCAAAATCATATACTCACACTTCTTAGGCTGAACAAACATACCAGAATTCGTGCACCAATCTGATTTACTGCCGCCATTGTGGAATCCAAAGTATTTCCTACACAGTATAATGTTGTGTCATCAGCATACATTTCTATAGTTCCTTCACCAACAGATGCGCAATCAGGTAGATCATTTCAAAAGAGTCCAAATAGTAATGGTCCCAGATCTGATCCCTGGGGGACTCCACAATCCACACGCTCTGTCGAGGATTTTACGAAGTCAATAGATATATTGATATCTTTCAGTCAGATAACCTTGTATCCCAGTCAGCAATTCCCCAGTTATTCCGAGGCGTTGTAACTTTTCTAACGGAATTGAGTGCGGCACAGCGTCGAAAGCTTTCCTAAAGTCTATAAAAACTGCGATGACCACCTTCTTTCGGTCTATGTATCTCCTCCAAGTTTCTGTCATATGTACAAGCAGCAGTTCAGTTGAAAGTTTGTATGCTCACTGGGGTTCAGTGACTTTTGTTGGGTATTCGCTCATATGATTTGAAAAAAGATCGCTTATACCTTTTTTATTATATTTTCAGGTACGCTCAACATGGGCAAGGGTCTGTAATTGTCCCTCATTCTCATCGTTTTTCTTATGTGCAGCCTTAATTGTGGCTACTTTCCATACGTTCGGTATAGTCTGTGTTTCAGCGCTGTTTTAAAAAAATATATGCTATCGATGGTACAATTGCTGGCCCAGCTATTTTAAGCATCCTTAGGCTGACTCCATCAAGGCCAATAGCCTTGTTAGATTTAAGTTTTGTTATTTGTTCCTTAACAAAGGTGTCAGTAATTTGTATTTTAGACAACGTTGGAATTGTTGGGACAATTTGTGAAGATGTAGAAGTGTATTGAGTTATTTGAGGGTTTTGATTTTGATTTTGATTTGACCTTATCTCATTTGCAAGTTGCTGTCCAACTGTCGCAAAATGCTTGTTTAAAATTTCTGCTTTCTCGGCAGCTTCTGTTGCCAATGTTCCGTTTTCCCATCTTATAGCTCTAGTTTCTGGTTTCCCTCTCGTGCCCTCAGCTTGTTTGATTAATTTCCAATATTTACGACAGTCCTTGACTTCATTAGATAAATTTGCAAAATATTCAACTTTTAGTCGCTTAAATTCAGATGTACCTCATTCCTTAATTTACGATATTTTTTAAAAATTTTGTCATCTCCCGTATTCTTTGCAAGACACAGTAGCTTAAACTTCTTGTTCATTTTATGCCTTAGCGTACCTGTTACCCATGGTAGTGAATTGCTACGGAGTTTAACAGACTTGAGAGGAGCGTGTATGTTAGAAACTTCGCATGAAATATCTCTTTCCATGCCAATAAGAATCGTCTGGGTCATCAAACACTTCAACTACTAGCCATGGGGCGTTCTCTAAATCCCTTCTAAATGCAGGCATTTCCAGCTTTTTATAATCACGGGTTTTGATAAATTTTGGTGGTGGATTTTTCGTCTTTAAATTAATTTTTGTAAATATTAGGGAATTATCGGACAAGCAGAAGTCTACCGTGGTATCAGCCAGGACTAGTTCAGGTGTATTGATGACGACTAAATAGATCAACGACGAACTAGTCTTTGTTATTTTTCACCCCCTCTAATCAATTTCCGTTTAATAATCCCCTCTAGTATTCACCTGCAATTAATAATCCCCTCTAATATTCACCTGCAATGTCTTTGCAGCACAAAAAATGAGAAAAAAACAACATCGCAAAAGCAATATGGCATTGAGAATTATTTCTTTTCTGACTCATTAACGCGACCTCGCAGTGTGAAAAATAAGTACGTTATTTTGAGGCACTTCGGGGATATGTGTTTATTCACCTCGGCGCTGCGCGCCTCGGTGAATAAATCACATATCCCCTCGTTGCCTCAAACTGAATAACCTATACTTATCCTCGTTGGTTCCTTGTTTATAACATTCAATCCGTAGTGCGAAAATACAGATTGCATTTTTGCATCAGGACCCGCCGCATAATTTGTATTAAAATCACCGACAAGTAAAATGCTTTTATGCTTTTATGCTTTAGCCAAACTTTTTCTAAAGTTAATCGTATTTGATTGTAGAATTCTGTGTCCCATGGGGGTCTGTAGATAAGTCCTAATACAAAAGAGGACAATCTTGAAGAAACTTTTACCCGAATGGATTCTATACTCGGATTATTAAGTCCGCTCACCGCAGTCACGGTTAAATGATTAGCAACGTATAATAAAAATCCACCGCCTTTCATGTTTGTACTTCGTTTCCCTTTAGTCTTTTGTCTCTCTCTCCTTATAATACGATAATCCTCTACAAATAACTGTTCGTCTGAGATTTCACTGTTTAAGTGTGTTTCAGTTAAGGCTAATATCTCAAACTTGTCAAATTTTCTAATAACATTTTGACCCCGACTTTGCCCCGTAAACTACGTATATATAGTTGTGCTATATTCAGTACATTCCCTCTGGTTTTCTGGCTAGATGCTAGCTCTGTTAAGACAGGGAAATAAAAATCTGCTATACAATTTTCTGTAGATTGTTCATCCACGGAAGAAACTGATGTATCTAATTTTGGAAGTTCATAAAATGCAAATTATGTTCAGAAGCGTCCTGTACGAATTAAATTTATTTCATTTCAAAGTGCGAGTAATAAGTTAAAGCTCGAGTTGAAGAGTTTTTTGGCATGTTGTAAAAGACGGACTGGACTGGACCGGACTGGACTGGACCGACAAAAGCGGACTGAGTCCGTGTTTTACAAATCGCGAACGGTGATTTGTAAAACGCAAATAATCATGATCACCAAAAGCAATTAACTTTCTCGGTAAAAACATTGAACTTTGTCATGAGAATAGACAGTTAATATTTTACAGCGACCGTTCATCCTTAGTTGCAAGCGACGGTACTGAATGAGTCCGCCGTTTTACAAATCACAGTCCGCGATTAATATAAATTAACTAGACTTTTCTTTTTTTCGCACGACGGAAGAACTCCTAAAAGATTCTTTCCAAATTTTGCATGATTTGGAACTTTCGTAATTCCTTGTTTATGCATTCGGCTTTGAAAGTACTATATGTTTTTTCAAAATGTTTAGGAACGAACTTTCCCTAAGTCTCATGTTATTAGTATATTTTGTGTTCAATATATAGACCACAGTAAGACTTTTTTAAATGTTTATTTCATTAACAAACGACGTTTCGGAGATTTACTCCATCTTCAGGTAGGATTACAATTTGAATTTAAACTAACATGCGCATGCATAAACGTTAAAATTGCGACCGTTATTCGCGCGTGCGAAATTGCGTAAGCATATAAATTACGTGCACGTGTCCGATTAATTCTAATAAAAATTAGAAATTGTTAATTCTGTCTTTAATGTTTCGTAGTTTAAACATTAAAGACAGAATTAACAATTTCTAATTTTTATTAGAATTAATCGGACACGTGCACGTAATTTATATGCTTACGCAATTTCGCACGCGCGAATAACGGTCGCAATTTTAACGTTTAT